TGAAGAAGATTGGGTAGGAGGAGGTAGTATTATAACATCAGGATTAATAGAATAAGATTTTCTACTTGGTATTTTATTTTTTATATTCCTTTTTCTATTAATATTGATATCATCAAGTACTTGTAATTGTTGAAATTTTATTTCAATATTTCTATGTGGATGTTCAATTATTTGATTTAGAATATTATTTTTTGATAATTCTTGGGGCTAATTTGCATGTTGTAATGCCCATGACTGTGGGAGGATAATATCTGACCACTTAATTGTTTTAGGTACAATCATATTGGATTTTTCCATATTTGTTTGGAATAATATGGTTTGATCTTTTTGATTAATTTTCATGATATTTAGATATAAAGTATTCATGACTTTGTAATATATTCTATATACTATTGCTAGATTTTGAGAACCATGGATCATATTAAAACCATGAGTTTTTAAATTTATTGTTAATATATCTAGAATATTCGGATCAGTTAAAGAAACTGAAAAATTTGGAAAACAATTAAAATATATTGGACCACTACAAAGGCTGGATTCAACCATACCTAGGAGCGAGTTTGTGAAGATATTGTGTCTTTTATCTCTTAGGCATACAAGCACATAAGTGTTTAACCCTAGTCGGGTCAAAGGTCTTACTGTTATTTGTATAAGACCAATGTGTAAATATTTGTAATTATTTTCTTTATGTTTTTCAATAAATTTTCTTGATAGTAGTTGAAAGTCTTCTTGATTTTGTATAACAGATAAACTTTCTTCTACTGTTTTGATGGCATATCCCATCTTGAATTTAAATGATCCCTTATGGTAAATGTCATGTATTGGTACCTTAGGAATATTCCAATTTTGAATATTTTTTTCAATGTCATTTATGATAATTTGTTTCTTGTTTTTTACTCTAAGTGTTTGAGATGAAGTTGCATTCTTACTTGTAAGATTCCTAATTAAATTTGCCATCCTTAGGTTGCGGATAATGACAATCTGGACATTCAGGGGTCCAGCGTTTTCCGTAAGCAGCTCTTCCTGGCCTTGGCGGTACTTTGCAATAGACTTTCCCTTGTCTCTTGTCTTAACTCTCGGACCAACTTTCTTGGTTGTAAATTTAACTTGGTTTCTTTAGTAAAGATGTAACTTTTATCTTTAACACTTAGAGTAAAAAACAAGGAACAAATTATCATAAATGACATTGAAGAAAATATTCAAAATTGGAATATTCCTAAGGTACCAATATATGACATTTACCATAAGCGATCATTTAAATTCAAGATGGGATATGCCATCAAAACAGTAGAAGAAAGTTTATCTGTCACACAAAATCAAGAATTTCAATTACTATCAAGAAAAGTTATTGACAAATATAAAGAAAATAATTACAAATATTTACACATTGGCCTTATACAGATAGCAGTAAAACCTTTGACCCGACTAGGGTTAAACACTTCTGTGCTTGTATGCCTAAGAGATACAAGACACAGTATCTTCACAGACTCGCTCCTAGGTATGGTTGAATCCAGCCTTTGTAGTGGTCCAATATATTTTAATGGTTTTCCAAATTTTTCAGTTTCTTTAACTTATCCGAATATTCTAGATATACTAACAATAAATTTAAAAACACATGGTTTTAATATGATCCATGGTTCTAAAAATCTAACAGTAGTATACAGAATATATTACAAAGTCATGAATACTTTATGTCCAAATATCATGAAAATTGATCAAAAAGATCAAACCATATTATTCCAAACAAATATGGAAAAATCCAATATGAATGTACCTAAAACAATTAAGTGGTCAGATATTATCATCCCACAGTCATGGGCATTACAACATGCAAATCAGCCCCAAGAATTACCAAAAAAACATATTCCAAATCAAATAATTGAACATCCAGATGGTAATATTGAAATAAAATTTCAACAATTACAAGTACAGGATGATGTCAATATTAATAGAAAAAGGAATATAAAAAATAAAATACCAAGTAGAAAATCTTATTCTACTAATCCTGACGTTATAATACTATTTCCTCCTACCCAATCTTCTTCATCCATACAATCAATACTACAGTCAGATTTACATTTCCAAGGAATAAGGAGAACAACCGATCATATTGTTATTCCTACCTATACTCCTGAATCAAGTATAGCAAATACTCCGGAACCTAGTATAGAAGATTTTCAAATATTAACTTTGCAAATCAAAGAAGATATAAAAGAAAAAATCAATCCATATGATCAATATTCTGACGAATACATGGCAGCATATTTAGCAGCCAAATTAGAAAGGAAACAGAGAAAAGTTAATAAAGAATATATTAGAAAAGATTATTTATCTGAAGAAAATAAACCTATTAGAGAATGGTATTTAAAAACATTTCAACCTAGACTCATATAATTAATGCATAAAAAATATAATAAATTTCTTAAAAAAGAAAGATTAAACCAAGGATTCTTTACATGGTTAAGAGAAATATGTACTCAATATAATATTACTATTCATTCATTTGATAATATTCAAACAATGGAAGAGAAAACTTATATCAGTACAGATGGAACAACCACTGCTAATACTCATCCACCTGAGAAGGGTATAATACTGAAAGCAGCCATCCCAGTTAAGGATGAGCCAGCACAACCACAATCACTATATGATATTATTGCCACTCCATATAAAATCTTACATAAGGAAATTGGTAAGAAACAGGAATTAATTCCTCATATTGTGGAACAGAATAATTATACTAATTTATATATGCAATCTCTAAGTAAACAAGCAGAAAGAATAGAAAGACTTGTTTGCACAAAACAACCTTCTGCTACACCTATACCAAAGGCGGCTTTGTTCAAACCACCTCCAGAATTAAATAAAAATAAATTCCATATTGGAGATAATAATAAATCCTTAATGGATCAATTAATATCAAAATTATCTCAGCTAGATATTAAAGGAATACCTTCTCCCAAAATAGATATTCCTACTCCAACTATTATTAGTTCACTTCCTGAGTCTTCTGATAAAGGAAAAGCAAAATTACCTGAGCATGAAACAATGATGCTCCAGAAAGAACCCATTATAGAAGATACTATCCAAAATCAAGAAAATGCATTTATGGATTCTACTCCCATAGATCTCAATAGGATAGCTTATGGAAAATATTGGAATCCAATAACAGCTTTACCATATCACAAGAGACCTACGCCTGTTGATATACAAATGGAAGAAGATGCTATACAACAGGCAGTATCATACTCAGGCAGATCCATAGTAAACTGGCAAATAGATGGATTATCAGAATTAAAAATATTAGATGTTATGTGACATATGACAATGTATGCCTCTGCAAATAAAATGGCAGGCAACCCTGATCAAGAGGTTGCAAGAGCAATAGTTAATGGATTTACTGGCTGGTTATGAGGTTGGTGGGATTTCTATGTAGATGATAAAACTAAAAATAGAATCCTCACAAATACTAGACAATGGACCGCCAAAAATGAACAAAACCAAGAAATAATTTATACAGAGAGTGATGCTGTTAACACTCTAATATATACCATTACTTTACACTTTGTATGCAGTACATCATTATTAGCAGCAAGATCAGAAGATTTGCTATCCAATTTACACTGTCCTACCCTATCTCATTATAAATGGTATAAAGATGTATTTTTCTCAAGATTACTAATAAGGGAAAATTGTCAGCTAGACCACTGGAAAGAGAAATTTATAGTTGGTCTACCATATTTATTCGCAGAAAAAGTCATAGAAAGACTGCGAAAGAAACATAATGGAATCATTATATACTCAGCTTATACACTTGGAGAATTATCAGCAGAAATATGTGTTGAGGTATTAGCCTTATGCACAGATATGAAATTCAAAAGGCAATTAGATACACAAAAATCACTAAGCGTAAAGAACTTGGTGACTTTTGCGAACAATTCGGCTATTATCTTGATAAGAAAAATATGCCTGACAATTTATATAAGAAAAAGAGAAAATATAAAAAGGAGAAATATAAATCTAAAAATAAAAATAAGAAAAAATATTATAAAAAATCTAAAAGAAAACTAATGGATAAATTTTTCCCCAATACCAAGGGAAAAAGAAAACTACCAGTATGTTATAAGTGTGGTAAAGTAGGACATTATAAACATCAATGTAAATTATAAAAGAAAATAAAATCATTACATTTAGATGAAACAATAAAATCAAAATTATATAATATAACCAATTATGACACTTCGTCCTCTACTTCTACAAATTCTCATATAGATCAAATCCAAGATGATGATCTTATGTGGACAGACTCTTCTGGTTCCACTAATGTTTCAAATACAGACTCATCCAGTTCAGATAATGATTGTAGTTGCGCCATACCAACACATAATGTACAGACACTCACTCAAGAAGATAATTTCATCTTAGACATTATTGACAAAATTAGTAGTCCAGATGAAAAAAGAGCTGTCATTACCCAATTTATTTCTATCACAAAAAATAAAGCAAAATCACTTCCAATAAATAAATCTCCTGATGAGTATAATTTTGCTTCAATAATGAAAAGAGTAAGTGAACAACACACTTCTAAAAAAGAACCCATAATTTCAGATCTCAAAAAAGAAATTAAAGAAATAAAAACTGAAATAGTTCAATTAAAAAATAGGATTAAATCTTTAGAATTACAACAACTATCTCAACAAGATTCAGAAACAGATGAAATAGAATTCGATCAAATGATGACATATGAACCAAATCCATCATCAGATATTCCTGAATCTTCAGAAGCTAAACCACAAATAGTAACTATTCCTTCTGTCAACTTAATAGACAAAATAGTAATACAAAAATGGTTTGTCCAAGTTAAGATTATTGTTGCAAAAGATGGATTCTTACTTGTAAGATTCCTACATAATTGATTATATTCCAAATATCATGACATAGAACACCTTCCCGGGTCTTCCAATCCTCTTTCTGATTTTTTAACCCGTGAATTTTTGCAGGGGGCAACATTGACTCCAACGACGATTCATCATTATCCCTTGCTTTACAGCTGTTCGAGGAGAATAAGATTAATACTAATATTTTACTCTCACCTTTATCAAATCAAATGGGTTCTCGAGGCACTTCTCGCCGAGATAAACAACCCATGAGAAATATAATTCCATATGAAGGGGAACCCTCGCCTTTGGCAATACGTTCACCTTCACACTCACCCATTCATCAAATCACCTATCCAGAAGCACATGCTTCTAATCCTATATATTCACCAGCCCAATCCAAGTCTGCCTCCATACCGAATACACCTAGATCTGCATATATCGAAAGAGCCTATCTTATGGATATTACCATAGATGAACAACATATCCATACAGATCCCATCAAACTTGCACCATTATATTTATTGAACCATTTCAACCCTACCAATGGGGTAAAAACCAGAGAATATTATGAAGCCATACTCATGGAAATTGGGTTCATCTCTGTAGTCCATTATTACCAGCAGAATACCAGAATAATTGCTTATTCCAAGGTTCAAATAAAAAAGTTACTTTCCTATGACGAGTGGGGTTGCAATCACACCCAGGGAAAGAAATTGCACAATCCAGATTTCTCGTATAAATATTATAAATATGCCGAATACATAGAAGCCTGGCATAAATTCTTTTATTATCAAAATCCAAATAACACACACAGCTGGTACCTTCAGTTCCGGCTACTTGTTTTCGAAAGATTCCCCACATGGTTTCAAAATTGGTTCTTGGTGTGGGGATCAACATCTTTAGTTTTACCTCTTGTTTTCAAAACCATGCAGGAACAATTTGTGCAATACAATAATAGTGACAATACAATTGAAACGCACCTATATTTCATGGCATTATATCAAATCCCATGGATCAGGAAATGGGACTATACTATATCAGTCAATAATACAGCCGATTATACCTATATTCCTCGATTGGGGAAAACCATTTCTGTAAAATGGTGGGACATTTTCAAAATGGATCTCACCACCACCACACCAAAAAGAATACCCCAACAGACACCTAAATATCAGCAAAGCCCAAATACAGCCAATACCTCCTTTGACTTTCCAACCTACTTAAGAAATATGTTGCAAACTAATCCCAATGCATCCAAGAAAGAACTAGAAAAACAAATGAAAGAGATTTTTGCTGAGGCTGGAAGAAAACCAGTATCTTTCGAAGAAACTGTACAGTCCTCCCCACTTCACACCAATAGATACCTTCAATTGAGTGAACCTGATCCAAAAGAAGAGTCAGATCCAAAAGAAGAGGATCCAGACAAATTCAATCAACGACCGTGAACAGAAAAAGTCTCTACCAACAACAGCAATACCAATAATCCAATAATCCAAAAGAGGAACAGTCTCCAGCGATAAAGATCCATAAGAGACAAAGGCCAGCCGACAGAAAACGACAAAAGACTGTTTCAAGATTCGAAGCACTGTACCCACTATCATATACGACAAGAAGACACTTTAGCCACGTCTCCGACAAGAAGCACTGTACCAAGATGCGCTTACTGTAGCCACTTGGGAAACAAACAAATAGAGCACTGTACATAATGCTTTTCTGTTTTGTCTTTTCTATTTTCTTTTGTCTCTTTCCTTTTTGCTGAACCACTTTTTACTTCACGACAAAGGAATTCTTTCTTTATTTTGATTCCCTTCCTTTTGACGTGTCACCTTGCTTCGTCTCCAAGCAACCTCCTTCGCCTATAAAACGAGAAGACCTCTTCTCATTTCATCAAGGTCGAACTCAGCAACCTCAACCATCCTCTTCGCTGCCTTCTCTCTCTGAGACTCTTCTACTCTGCTCTGAACTCTCTCGCTCTGAGACTTCTCTCTCTGAGTTCTCTCTCTTTGAGAGTTCTCTCTCTGAAATCTCTCTCTGAGTCTATTCTACCTCTCTTCTGTGTTCGGAATATTGCATCAAACATCAGAGCTATCCTGACCTTCATAGCTCTTCATATTCTAAGCATATGATCAGGTTTTATCCTTCACCTTTCTTTCTATGTCCATTATGTGTGACTGCAATCTAAAATCTCTCCCTTCATACTGTCCACAACACTGGAAACTGTTTTTCAGTTATTGTATTTGTACACAGTAAGTTTCAGATTTCTATATTGTCTTTTCTTTTCTTTAAAAGTTTGTAATAGTTCAGTTGCTCTATTGTTGTAAACATTATGCATTTGCTATAAAAAGTTGTTCTATCAGTTTATATCATGCTGTGCATAAAATGCAGTTGAAAATTTTATTCAATATAAAGATTGGCGAGTTATCTTATGCTCAATGGTTTGTAATTGATATCTCTATTATCCCTTTATTTTGCATACTCCTTTTTATCCTTAACTATTACAAAATCCTACAAGAATTTGTTAAATACAATAGCATTTTATTTACATATTTATTCTAGCCTAAATCAGTCTGGCTACAAACATATGTTGGCTACAAACACATGTTATATACTTCTGATAACTTCATCTTCTGAATTGATTAAATTAAGAATCAAACAATAGGCCTACAGTAGGACTGGGACTGTAGATCCTGGGCGTTTTGGTATCGATTTGCAAAGTTAATATTTGAAAATCTTCTATACTAAGTTCAGGAGTATTTGCTATACTTGATTAAGGAGTATAGGTAGGAATAACAATATGATCGGTTGTTCTCCTTATTCCTTGGAATTGTAAATCTGACTGTGGTATTGATTGTATGGATGAAGAAGATTGGGTAGGAGGAGGTAGTATTATAACATCAGGATTAGTAGAATAAGATTTTCTACTTGGTATTTTATTTTTTATATTCCTTTTTCTATTAATATTGATATCATCCTGTACTTGTAATTGTTGAAATTTTATTTCAATATTACCATCTGGATGTTCAATTATTTGACTTGGAATATTATTTTTTGGTAATTCTTGGGGCTGATTTGCATGTTGTAATGTCCATGACTGTGGGAGGATAATATCCGACCACTTAATTGTTTTAGGTACAATCATATTGGATTTTTCCATATTTGTTTGGAATAATATGGTTTGATCTTTTTGATCAATTTTCATGATATTTGGACATAAAGTATTCATGACTTTGTAATATATTCTGTATACTATTGTTAGATTTTGAGAACCATGGATCATATTAAAACCATGAGTTTTTAAATTTATTGTTAGTATATCTAGAATATTCGGATCAGTTAAAGAAACTGAAAATTTGGAAAACAATTAAAATATATTGGACCACTACAAAGGCTGGATTCAACCATACCTAGGAGCGAGTCTGTGAAGATATTGTGTCTTTTATCTCTTAGGCATACAAGCACAGAAGTGTTTAACCCTAGTCGGTTCAAAGGTTTTACTACTATTTGTATAAGGCCAATGTGTAAATATTTGTAATTATTTTCTTTATGTTTTTCAATAGCTTTTCTTGATAGTAGTTTAAAGTCTTCTTGATTTTGTGTGACAGATAAACTTTCTTCTACTATTTTGATGGCATATCCCATCTTGATATTAAATGATCCCTTATGGTAAATGTCATGTATTTGTACCTTAGGAATATTCCAATTTTGAATATTTTTTTCAATGTCATTTATGATAATTTGTTCCTTGTTTTTTACTCTAAGTGTTTGAGATGAAGTTTCATTCTTACTTGTAAGATTACTAATTAAATTTGCCATCTTTAGGTCACGGATAATGACAATCTGGACATTCAGGGGTCCAGCGTTTTCCCTAAGCGGCTCTTCCTGGCCTTGGCGGTACTTTGCAATAGACTTTCCCTTGTCTCTTGTCTTAACTCTCCTACCAACTTTCTTGGATGTAAATTTAACTTGGTTTCTTTAGTAAAGATGTAACTTTTATCTTTTACTTATAGTTTTACTTGTTAAAGAATAATATTTCTGTTTTATCAGTCTAACTGTTTACACAGTTCCACTGTTAGACAGTTCTACTGTTTTAGTTTTACTGTTTGGCTCTGATACCAAAACGCCTAGGATCTACAGTCCCAGTCCTATTGTAGGCCTATTGTTTGATTCTTAATTTAATCAATTCAGAAGATGATGTTATTAGAAGTATATAACATGTGTTTGTAGCCAACATATGTTTGTAGCCAGACTGATTTAGGCTAGAATAAATATGTAAATAAGATGCTATTGTATTTAACCCAATTTTTGTAGGATTTTGTAATAGTTAAGGATAAAAAGGAGTATGCAAAATAAAGGGATAATAGAGATATCAATTACAAACCATTGAGCATAAGATAACTCGCCAATCTTTATACTGAATAAAATTTTAAACTGCATTTTATGCACAGCATGATATAAACTGATAGAACAACTTTTTATAGCAAATGTATAATGTTTACAACAATAGAGCAACTGAACTATTACAAACTTTTAAAGAAAAGAAAAGACAATATAGAAATCTGAAACTTATTGTGTACAAATACAATAACTGGAAAACAGTTTCCAGTGTTGTGGACAGTATGAAGGGAGAGATTTTAGATTGCAGTCACACATAATGGATATAGAAAGAAAGGTGAAGGATAAAACCTGCTCATATGCTTAGAATATGATGAGCTATGAAGGTCAGGATAGCTCTGATGTTTGATGCAATATTTCGAACTCAGAAGAGAGGTAGAATAGACTCAGAGAGAGATTTCAAAGAGAGAACTCTCAAAGAGAGAGAGAAGTCTCAGAGAGAGAGAGTTCAGAGAAGAGTAGAAGAGTCTCAGAGAGAGAAGGCAGCGAAGAGGATGGTTGAGGTTGCTGAGTTCGACCTTGATGAAATGAGAAGAGGTCTTCCCGTTTTATAGGCGAAGGAGGTTGCTTGGAGACAAAGCAAGGTGACACGTCAAAAGGAAGGGAATCAAAATAAAGAAGGAATTCCTTTGTCGTGAAGTAAAAAGTGGTTCAGCAAAAAGGAAAGAGACAAAAGAAAAGAGAAAAGACAAAACAGAAAAGCATTATGTACAGTGCTCTATTTGTTTGTTTCCCAAGTGGCTACAGTAAGCGCATCTTGGTACAGTGCTTCTTGTCGGAGACGTGGCTAAAGTGTCTTCTTGTCGTATATGATAGTGGGTACAGTGCTTCGAATCTTGAAACAGTCTTTTGTCGTTTTCTGTCAGCTGGCCTTTGTCTCTTATGGATCTTTATCGGTGGAGACTGTTCCTCTTTTGGATTATTGGATTATTGGTATTGCTGTTGTTGGTAGAGACTTTTTCTGTTCACGGTCGTTGACTGAATTCGTCTGGATCGTCTTCTTCTGGATCTGTCTCTTCTTCTGGATCAGGTTCACTCAATTGAAGGTATCTATTCGTGTGAAGTGGGGAGGACTGTATAGTTTCTTCGAAAGATACTGGTTTTCTTCCAGCCTCAGCAAAAATCTCTTTCATTTGTTTTTCTAGTTCTTCCTTGGATGCATTGGGATTGGTTTGCAACATATTTCTTAAGTAGGTTGGAAAGTCAAAAGAGGTATTGGCTGTATTTGGGCTTTGCTGGTATTTAGGTGTCTGTTGGAGTATTCTTTTTGGTGTGGTGGTGGTGAGATCCATTTTGAAAATGTCCCACCATTTTACAGAGATGGTTTTCCCCAATCGAGGAATATAGGAATAATCGCCTGTATTAATGGATTACAGAGATGGACCCTGTTTCCATGAGTATGGCTTCATAATATTCTCTGGTTTTTACCCCATTGGTAGGGTTGAGATGGTTCAATAAATATAATGGTGCAAGTTTGATGGGATCTGTATGGATATGTTGTTCATCTATGGTAATATCCATAAGATAGGCTCTTTCGATATATGCAGATCTAGGTGTATTCGGTATGGAGACAGACTTGGATTGGGCTGGTGAATATATAGGATTAGAAGCATGTGCTTCTGGATAGGTGATTTGATGAATGGGTGAGTGTGAATGTGAACGTATTGCCAAAGGCGAGGGTTCCCCTTCATATGGAATTATATTTCTCATGGGTTGTTTATCTCGGCGAGAAGTGCCTCGAGAACCCATTTGATTTGATAAAGGTGAGAGTAAAATATTAGTATTGTTCTGATTCTCCTCGAACAGAACGGCTGTGAAGCAAAAGATAATGGTGAATCGTCGTTAGAGTCAGTGTTGCCCCCCTGCAAAAAATCACGGGTTAAAAAATCAGGAAGAGAATTGGAAGACCCGGGGAGGTGTTTGATGGAAAAATCAAAGGCGGACAAAATAGCCTGCCATCTGGCAAATATTTGTTTTGAAACAAAATTTTGAACATCTTTTTGCAAAATATCTTTGGTTGCTTTGTACTCAGTGCGTATTAAGAAATGTTGATTTAAAATATCACTTTGGAATTTAGAAACACAATGAACTATGGCTAAGAGTTCTTTCTTGACCATAGAATAATTGAGTTGAGTGGGATTTTAAGCTTTAGAAGTATAACGAAGTAATTGTTCTTGAGAATCAATTTTTTGTTTAAGAATGCCTCTTAAACCTTTGTCAGAAGCATCACATTCTATAATTTTGAAAGCAGTTGGATGAGGAAGGGATAGACATTCTAGAGTCTTTACCTTGCGTTTAATTACTTGTACTGCTTGAGTATGGATATTTGTCTATAGTGGAGGATTCTTTTTGAGTCTATTATATAAAGGTTTAGAATCTAAGGCAAGGTTAGGATATAAATCACTAACATAATTTAAACATCATAGGAACCTTTGAAGTTCCTTTTTATCAAGTATTTGATCAGGGAACTTATCAGCAAATTGTATTGATCTATCTATAGGAATAATGGTTCCATGGTGGATCATATGACCTAGGAATCTAATATTGGTTTTAAATGAGGTTATCTTTTTAGCTGAAACAACTAATCCAGCATTTTGGATAGCATGTATAAAAGTATTAATGTGTTTAATATGTTGACCTATAGATTCAGAGAATATTAAAACATCATCAATATAAACAATCATGAAATGATGATAGGCATTAAACACATCATTCATTATTTTTTGAAATTCTGATGGAGCGTTCTTTAATCCAAATGGTATAACTTTCCATTTATATTGTCCAAATGGGACATTAAATGTTGTTTAATATCTATCTTTTTCTTGGATTTGTATTTCCAATATCCAGATTTCATATCAAATTTTGAAAAGATACTAGCTTGAGCGACTCTATCAAGTAAATCTTTTTTATTAGGAATATGGTATCTAATCCATTTTAAAACTTTATTTACATTGTATGCCGCTGCAAATAAAATGGCAGGCAACCCTGATTAAGAGGTTGCAAAAGCAATAGTTAATGGATTTACTAGCTGGTTACGAGGTTGGTGGGATTTCTATGTAGATGATGAAATTAAAAATAGAATCCTCACAAATACTAGACAATGGACCGCCAGAAATGAACAAAACCAAGAAATAATTTATATAGAGAGTGATGCTGTCAACACTCTAATATATACCATTACTTTACACTTTGTAGGCAGTACAGCATTATTAGCAGCAAGATCAGAAGATCTGCTATCCAATTTACGCTGTCTTACCCTATCTCATTATAAATGGTATAAAGATGTATTTTTCTCAAGATTACTAATAAAGGAAGATTGTCAGCTAGACCCCTGGAAAGAGAAATTTATAGCTGGTCAACCATATTTATTCGCAGAAAAAGTCAAAGAAAGACTGCGAAAGAAACATAATGGAATCATTATATACTCAGCTTATACACTTGGAGAATTATCAGCAGAAATATGTGCTGAGGGATTAGCCTTATGTACAGATATGA